AGTGAGACTGTAAAAGCACAAAAGTTTTTCAACTTTTTAGACCTATAAAACTATTACATCTTAAGAATCTCTCCAACAAAAATGATTCTTACTTTGTTTCTTTGAAAAATAGCTATAAACTATGTACAAGGAAGGCATATATTGTTTTTCTCTTGATTCCTCTTGCTTTGAATTAAACCAAACTCCTCTATTTTTAGAAGATTTGAGAGCATATAACCATTTTCTAAATGTTAGAGGGATTTTGATTTAAATCCCCTCCAATCTGATAAAAGGCTTTCGAAAGATGGCAATAGCAGTTTGAGCCTTCAAATGATCAAGTTCTTTGAAGTAGTCGGTTGTCAAATTTTTGTTAGTCGGTTATTTCTCTTTTAGTCAATTGTTTCCTTTAATGAATTGATTGATATCACTTTAAACTTAGATTTTCTTGATTAGTCGACCATCTATCTCAAATAGGGCATTTTCATACATTGGCTATTACAATTAGTCAACTATGCCTTCTTGGGGTAGTCAATTATGTCCCATAGTTTTTGCAAGACATGCCTTGATTATTTAGTTAGTCAATTACGCCTTTTGGCGTAGTTGACTATGTCTTATAGTCCTGGCAAGGCATGTCAGTCAGAGAGCCCAACACTTAGAAACATTGGAAATGATCATCCAAAGGTTTGGAACTTCTTCCTTTGGTTTTCAAATGGAATTTTAAGATAAACTCTTGTTTAAGTCTAGGAAAGCATAAAAACCAAACATATTATAATCATTGGTCTCTAAGGTTGCTTTACTTGAGTTTAGTCTTGTTGAGCATCAAAGAGAGTGCAAGTTAAAAAACTGATTATATAAAGATCCTTAAAGATAGACACATTTGAGAACAACTTAATGTAGTCCTCCTCCTTGATGAGTTGTTGTAGTAAATGGTCATTTAAGTAGCTCCAAGACTTTCAACTCTTATAGTAGCCTTATCCTGCTTGAATGATGTTAGAACAACCTCATGTGGAGGATTTAGTGATAGTGAAAATATAAAGTTTAGGCAACTAATCAAGTAGAACTTCCACTTCATCATCTTTGGTAGCATTCTTTCTTTTACACAATTTAAGCTCAAAGAACCTTACTTAAAGAAGATGGGTAAACCGAACCGAGTTATCTATAAATATATTCTCACTGAAATATTATATATATAATATGTATATTTCAGCTTTAAATATATATATATATATATGGGTTTTAAATATATATTTCTGAAATGTATATTTCAGTTTTAAATATATTTCTAAAAAATATATTCTGAAATATTATATATAATATGTATATTTCCAATATAT